TTTTTACATTTTAACGAAAAGAAAACAGAGGTGATGGTGCTCAGACCCAGTGGCTCCTGTGAGTCCTCCTCTGTTGACCTTTGACCCTTGGAGGTGCATTTTAAACCGTTTATTTTAAACCAGTTTATTTTAAACCTGTTATTACAGATCTTGGTTTTAAGGTGGACAGTGATTTTAAATTGGACAGCCACATTAGAGCTGTGGTTAAGTCCAGTTTTTATCACTTAAGGCGATTGGCATCAGTAAAATCTTTTCTTTCCAGGCAGCATTTTGAAACAGTGATCCACTTTTATTTTGACTCGACTGGATTATTGTAACTCTCTATATCTGGGAGTCAGTCAGTCACTGCTCTCACGTCTGCAACTGCTTCAGAATGCGGCTGCAAGACTTTTGACAGGAACTGGAAAGAGAGAGCATGTGACCCTGTCTTGGCTTCACTTCACTGGCTGCCTGTTTATTTTAGGATCCGTTTTAAAATTTCTATGTTTGTTTTAAAATCGCTGCATGATCTTGCCCCGGCTTACCTCACTGAGCTTCTTCACCCTGACATACCTTATGGGTCTCTTGGAGGAACCGAGATCTAGAAGGAAGCTCAGAGGGGACAGAGCTTTCTCTGTCGGGGTCCTAAGTTATGGATGACCTGCAGGTCAGAGGCCCCTTCACTGTCCACTTTTAAAGCTCATCTTAAAACCCATTTATTTCACTTGGCCTTCAACTCCAGTGAGATCTAGTTTCATATTGTATGTTTGTTGTTTTAAACTGTATTTGTTTTTATCTATTTTATGTGCAGCACTTTGTTTCAGCTGTGGTTGTATTAAAGTGCTTTATAAATAAAGTTGGTATGGTAGAAAACTTTTAAATATAATTTCAATAGTAAGCTGAACTTGATGCATTGTCAGTTGTCAATGGACTTGATCTGGATGATTCATTTAAACTGACTAGATTTGTCTTCATAAACTGGATATTTTATCTGTGATTTTCTTTTTAAAGTTTTGAATGTACATTGAAACATAATTTGCTTGATGCATTATTTTATTCTCATGTTATTTCTGCTGAGAGGAAAAGGAGGAAGAGGAGGAGCTGAACTGATCCTGATCTCTAAAGAGACTCAAACTTCCTCCTTCAGTTCAGTTCAACTCTCCAACATCAACTCTGCTCATCATGGACTATTATGGTCTGTCTCTGCTCATCGCCTCTCTGCTAACAGGTCACAATGTCTCTGTTTTTCAAAAACACGTTTTCAAAGTTTAATAAATGTGAATTTATTTACAGAAACTGAAACTAACAGGTTTCTCTTCATCTAGGAGTCAGATGCCAACAACTCACCGCGCTTCATAATGAAGAGTTCGCTGTAGAAAAAAGCAAAGCTACTCTGTCCTACACTTACTCCAGCAAAGCTACTGGAAGTGATTATTTCTTCTGGTATCGACAATATCCTGGAAAACCTCCAGAGTTCCTGATTTCTCATTTAGGATCTGGAGCTGAACTCCAGGATCCGGTTCCTGGTTTCTCCTTCAACGTGAATGATGATAAAACCCAGATGGATCTTCTGATCTCCTCTGCTGCAGTGACAGACTCTGCTGTGTACTACTGCGCTCTGCAGCCCACAGTGACAGGAAACACCAGAACCCTGAACAAAAACCTGCAGTACTGCACAGCGGCCACTAGAGGGCCTCACTCCCTGTTAAACTACAAAATTAAGAATTTTTTTTAATCTGATGGACAAATAGAATAAAATAGGAACATGTTTATTATCCCAGGTGTTTATTACACCTGACTGCAGCTTACCAACATGCTGACAATATTTCAGTCGTTCATCATGAGTTAATTCCTGGGAGAACTCAGAGTCTCTCTCTGGACAAATATCGGACAGCCAATAGATAAACCATGAGGCTGTTTGTGAACAAGCAGCTGATCACTTTTTAAATGATAACGAAGCTCAGCCATATGCTGAGCTGAGGATGCTGCCTGGACCCATGAAGAGATGCAGAGACTGTAGCTCTTTGGGAAACTCTCCATTATAGCAGATTATCTCCATTGGATAATCTGCTGTTTTAGCACATGTGGGGGTTTTCAAGGGTGTGTGTGTGTGTGCTGGTTTATCTATCATTATGAGGACTTAATCTTGTCAAACAACTGACATTGTTGGACATTTATAGCTGTGAGGACATTTTGCCATGTCCCGACAATAAAAACATAATTTTTGAGTTAGGTGTTGGGATTAAGGAGGGAATTAAGTGGCTCAGGGGAAATGTCAAGATCATAGAATTGATGGGAGTCAGTACAAGTGAATAAACGTGCACTGAAACAGGAGTGTGTTTGTGTGTGGGGGTGGAGTTCAACAAAGGCGGTGTTTACTCAGGGCTGCATGTACACTGGAGCCGCTGCTGGCTGTGAAGAGAACAATAGTCAGACTGAATGTTGAACATCAGCTGCTTTCTCCTGCTGATTTAAACCTTGTTGGACAGATGGAACATTGGCTGTGGATTATTCTGGCTGCTCTTTTCTCTGGTAAGATACAAAGATGTTTCCTCTACATGGAGTCTTTAAAGCTGCTGATTGTTCTCCTTTAATCAATCATCTTTATTGATCCGTCTCTTCCTCTGCATGTTCTGTTCTTCCCAGAGTGTAAAGGAGACTCAGTGAAGCAGACAGGAGGAGAAGTTGCTGCAGCAGCAGGAGAATCACTGACTCTGGGATGTACTTATGAGACCAGTTTTACTCCCACATTGTTCTGGTATAAGCAAGAAGAAAACAGTTTCCCAAAGTACATGCTGAAGCAGCTGTCATCAACAAAAGATAAAGCTTCAGAGTTCAACAATAACAGATTTGATGCTGACCTCAACAGCACCATAAAATCCTTCAACCTGACAATCCAGGATCTCCATCTGTCAGACTCTGCTGTGTACTACTGCGCTCTGCAGCCCACAGTGACAGGAAACACCAGAACCCTGAACAAAAACCTGCAGTACTGCACAGCAGCCACTAGAGGGCCTCACTCCCTGTTAATCCACTAAAACCTGCAGTACTGCACAGCAGCCACTAGAGGGCCTCACTCCCTCTGTTCTTCCTGTTTCGGTGGGATTCAGTCTGAAACAGCGTCATGTTCATTTTAAGAAGCTTGTTCTGTGAAAAAAAGAAAAAACTGTCAAAATTTATTTCCATAGCAACTTTCAAAATAACAGTTGATCAAAGTGCTTCAGAATTACATGAACAGTCAGAAGATAGCTCACAGAATAAAACAGATTTAAAAAACTGAAGAATTTATTTTTCAAGAAGTTAAGATCTCTAAAATGTACGTATTTAGCTTCCCATCCTCAGTCAAATCCAGTCAAAAGAGAAAAGTTTATTATGGGACATTTTATATGATTCTCTGCTGGGATCTGAATCAAAATAACCGTAGATTAAAAGAACGTATGACATAAGAGAAAATCTAAACACATTGAATTTAGGTATGAAATAAAAGCTTTACACATTTAAAAATTGCAAGATTGTATAATTATTGCACAAATAGTCAAATAAATGATTTGTTATTACTGTCATAAGAGACATGATGACAGTTCATTCAGAGCATTCATACACTGCACAGCCTCACATGTAATAAAGTCCAAGATTGGTGGACCTATGTAAAATTTGCACAATATGCAATAAACCATGTCAGCAAAAGCCAGAGGACACCATAAAAGTTTATATTCCACATTGTTTTGACTGATGGGGTCAAAGACACCCAGTAATAATTTTATAAATCATTTTTATAAAATATGACTATTGCAACTGATGGCATCAGATGAGTAACTGACAAACAATCAGTGATTACACTGTCTGTTTTACTCCATGTCAGGATTACAAAATGCTGCTGCTTGTTTGTTCTTCGTGGTGTTGAGTTTGATCACCTGTTAGTTCATCGTTCAGAAGAGGAAAGAAAATCAGAGTTCTCATCTCATCTGTCCAAACAGAGCAGGAATACTGCAGAACCTCTAATGGAGAGGTTGATGGAGGAAACGCCCATGATGTTTGTTATAACATCTTTATTACATCAAGTTTGAGACGAGAACAGGAGCAGCTGTGGGGAACCACACAATCTAATCATGTCAGTTTTGTTTTTATGTCTGGTGCTGGTAAATATTATGTGCAGATTGAATTAATTGTGTCTTGTAACTAAATACTAATTAATGGGGTTTTTTCCAGTTAAAGGTAAAAGGTGAAGCTGTAACAATGAACCCAAACAAGCTGAATGGACAACATCAGATGAATCAAACCTTTTCTCCAGTGACATAAACCCACTGATGAAGGTTTTATATTGATCTCATGTGTGAATAACCAAATATAAACAAAACCCATTTAATAAAGAATATTACTTTAGATAAAATATATAGACTAATTATACAGGTGGATATTTCAAAACCTTTTCTTCTTTTATGATTTTTGATTTGCAGTGAAATAAGTCATAAAATTAGAATGTTACATCAGAAGAATAAAAATATTTTTTTTGTAGTTGATCAACTACTTCTGAAATGTAGTTTTAGTGAACCATGCTAATGCCAGATCAATTATCAATAATATGATAATTTATTGAATGTAATGTAAATACCTGAATTGATTATCAACTTGTAAACGATTCAAAACCTTTAATTAAACGTCTAAAGGGTCTGATGTCGATCCAGAGCATGACTGATGCTAAATGCACCAAGGCAGCCAAAGTTTTGAAATCAGTGAACATTTTATTTGATTTTGGTTACCTCTGAATTATTTTAAATTATTTGAAAATCCCAGATTAATTGACACAACAATAACTCAAAGATGCAAAACCACAGTGAAAAACAGAGTAAAAGTTGAACCTCAGTGACTCTGCAGGGGATATGAAGCTGATCTGAGCTGAACTGGGGAAGATGGGAGGTCCAGGCTGCTCTGCATCCCTGCTCTGCAGAAGTGAGGCAGAGCAGGGATGTGTTGAATAAAACTTGCCAGTAGGGGGAGTACCACAGGGCTCCTGTCAGCACATGAAGACCGAGCACAGAGCTGCCAGCTCTGTTTCTGCTCTCTCCTCAGACATGCCTCCTCTGTTGTTCTTGGTGCTGCTGGCTGTTGTCAGCCTCGGTAAGAACTCAGCTATCTTCATCTAACATCAGAGCAGATTGCTGTTGAGCTGACACTGATCCTGTTGTTGGTATTTTACAGAATGCAGAGCACAGACCGACAGCGTGCTGCAACCAGAGAGAGACTTGATGGCTACTGAAGGAGGCAACGCAACTCTGCAATGTCTCTATGACACAAGTGGATCCAACCATTACCTCTACTGGTACAGACTGGAGGGAGGCAGCAGTCCCACATTCATCCTGAGCCGCTTTAAGATTGGCGATGGGAAAACAACGGAGAAGAGATTTTCCTCCAGCCTGGATGCCACTGCTAGATCAGTTCCTCTGACGATCCAGGATCTTCGTCCGTCAGACTCTGCTGTGTACTACTGCGCTGTGCAGCCCACAGTGACAGGAAACACCAGAACCCTGTACAAAAACCTGCAGAACTCCACAGCAGCCACTAGAGGGCCTCACTCCCTGTTTGGTTGAACTCAGTCTGAAGCAGACCTCTGTGTGTTTGGTTCATCAGTTTGAAATGAAAATATGAAAACCAGGAAGTGAGTTTGGTGAATCATTAAAGTAAAAAGACATTTAAAAAGAATTAACAAAAAATAATTTGACTTGAAATCTGATCAACTACTTCTGAAAAATATGACCTTCATATGATAAAATATCATCCATCGTCTTCTATGTAGTCTTTCTGCTGTCGCTTTAATATTGAGGGATGAAAAACAAATCGCTCATCCTTGCCTTCCTTGGCCTTTGGTCAGATGGCCTGTTCAAATCACCTGACTTGAGGGTGTCATGGTGGACAGTCTGGCCCCGACATGGCGGATCAAAGTTCCTGGCCTGAAGAGCAGAAAAGATTCAGACACAATATTAATCTGCTTTATTGAACAGAAGAGTCAACAGAAGCAAAACTCACATGCCCGATGACAGTCCAGGAAGCCAGGCTCTCCCCGTCACCATCGCCAGCTGCAGGTATTTATTCAGGTTTCTGGACTCAGCCGTGCTGTGACGGCCCGTCACAGCACGGCTGGACCCGGTTTGGCTCCATGGACCCTGGACCTGGTTTGGCTCCATGGACCCTGGACCCGGTATGGCTCCATGGACCCTGGACCCGGTTTGGCTCCATGGACCCTAAACGTCTTCAGGGCCCGTCCATGAAGACCTGCGCCCAGGGATGTCAAAGTCAAAAACACAAAGGGCCAAAACAACTAATTTGCTGCAAGCCGAGGGCCGGACTGGTTCAATGTTTATTAAAACAGATTGAATTATTGTACATAAACTATTGAAGCAGGACCTGACACAGTGTAAATTATTGAATAATTAAATGAATAAAGCGATATTTTGTAATGGCTTTGTCAGTAACCTCAAGGGAAAACATTTTCAACAGGCAAAAAGCAAAAAATTAAATATGTTTTCTTAATATCAAGATAAATACATAAATAAAATGCATTATAAACTGAAAATGCATTATTGTGCTTGTCGTGGAAAAAAATCATTTGTAAGCATTGATGATTTAATGAAAATATAACTCACACACGACACTTCAACATTTAGCTCCTAATATGTTAGTAATTATAATGTATGAATAACAGCAAAGACAACAGATGGATAATGTTCTTGGTTTGATCTGCTTAAAAACTTTACTAAGTAAAATTAAGGCTTAATGGAAGGACACAAGGAACAAGGAAGAAGAATCTATTGAGCCAAAGTTTGTTGAACTGAGCAGCTGAAGCTGAGAGGAGGAGGAGGAGGAGGAGGAGGATGAAGAGGATGAAGAGGAGGAGGAGGAGGAGGAGGAAGAGGATGAGGAGGATGAAGGGGATGAAGAGGAGGAGGATGAAGAGGAGGAGGAGGAAGAGGAGGAGGAGGAAGAGGAGGAGGAGGATGAAGAGGAGGAGAGGAGGAGGAGGAGGAGGAGGAGGAGGAGCTGGTCTGTTCCTGAACTCTAAAAGAGACTCAAACTTCCTCCTTCAGCTCAACTCTCCAACATTAACTCTGCTCAACATGCTGTCTCTGCTCACATCTGGATTCACTCTGCTGGTTCTGATCACTGGATCAGGTTGGTTGGAGTCTTTCAGAGAATAATCTCATCCTTGTTGTTCTTCACTTACATCAGTTCTTTCTTCCTTCAGGTGTAAACTGCCAACAACTCACTGCAGCAAAGACTGAGGAGTTCAGTTCAGAGGGCAGCTCTGTTACTCTGACCTGCAGTTACTCCAACAAGATAGCTCTTGGTGATGATTTCTTTTGGTATCAACAAAATCCTGGAAAACCTCCAGAGTTCATCTACTACATCTCAGGGCTCAACAGCTCAAGATCAGCAGAGTCTCTGAAATCATCAACAAGATTCTCCACTTACCTGAGAGGAGAGAAGCACCTGGATCTGCTGATCTCCTCTGCTGCAGTGACAGACTCTGCTGTGTACTACTGCGCTGTGAGGCCCACAGTGACAGGAAACACCAGAACCCTGAACAAAAACCTGCAGTACTGCACAGCAGCCACTAGAGGGCCTCACTCCCTGTTAATCCACTAAAACCTGCAGTACTGCACAGCAGCCACTAGAGGGCCTCACTCCCTGTTAAGCCACTAAAACCTGCAGTACTGCACAGCAGCCACTAGAGGGCCTCACTCCACTGGTTGTTGAGTCGTTGGACTGAAGACAAAGACAACAGAGACATGAAGCAGCAAAGATCAGAGACGGAGCTGCTGAGGAAGCAGAAACTCTCTGATTGGTTGAGTTGAAGTGGCCCCGCCCACTGACCTTCAGCTCCTCCATCATTTGTTCTTCCTTCATTGTTGATCTGCTGTGTGGCTCTCAGGACTCCAGACATGTTGCTCTCCCTCCTGTTGCTTCTGTCTCTCAGTAGAGGTCAGTTTAAGGTCAGGGATTCTGGTTCAGTCCAGCAGGAGACAACATGTGGGTCTGCTGTCCTGCACTGGGCCAGACGTCGTTCTGACCTTCAGGCTCCTGTTTGTCCTCTAGAAACAACATGGTTCCTGATCCTGGATCAGCAGCATCGTCTTCCTCCAGTGAGCTGAGCATCAGAGAGCTGACCCCGGCAGACGCGGCTCTCTGCTACTGCGCTCTGGAAACACAGTGATACAAAGTGGAGAAGAGGCTGTACAAAAACCTGAACACAGATATCTGACTCCTCTTCAAAGAGGAGGGAAGTGGTATTCACAGCTCAGCGTCATATCAGATGGATTCTGATCATCCTGCTTGATCAGAGTCGCTGTGGTTGCAGCTGCTAATCACTGACAGGCAGAATAAAGACGCCAGTAGAAATGCTACTTCCTCATTCAGTCCAGTTAGATTTCTCTTTCTGTAGACTTTTCTCCTCATCTTCAGACTCCTGCACTTGTTGGGTCAGAGTCTGAGAATCATCTAAATGAATGTTTCAAAAAGACAGAGAGGAAAACATGTTTCAGACACTATAAACATTTCCTAGTTGGCTCATCTGTTTGTTATTTTCAAACAATTTCCATTTCCAGACATTAGAAACCATTTTTAAAGAGAGCACAGCTAAAACCTTTTAACCTTCACTTCCTGAAACCAGAGAACTGCTAAATATTTTCCAGTCATATTTGACTCATTTGCCCCATGAAAGTGAAGGGAGTTTCTGGCACCGACTCTGAGTTCATGACTAAAGCATTGCAGGGAAACATTGTTTGGTGAAACCCAACAGCATCGCTAGTCCAGAGACGGAACCACCTGAACTCCAATTTACACAACTTACAAACCAACGTTTAAGGAAAGAGACATTCTGTCAACTCAACACAGACAGGTTTCCATGCTTACCACAGTACTGAGGCTGGCCTAGTCAAAGTGTTCAATGACATGAACACAGACTGTGGAAGAACCACAGTGCTGGTTCTGGTTCTGTTGGACCTCACTATGGCAAGATGGCGCCGGTGTGTATGGCTGCTCGTCTGTCATTCTTACGTTTGACTTGTATCATCTACGGAACTGAATCTCTGCTGGCGTATGATCGCAACACACTGCTAGACCTCCAACCTTTGGCCCAGGATATGGTGTTATTTGATGTTGGTGACCAACAATCCTCGCCCCCTTCTGTCGGAGATTCCGAGTCACCTGCTTCGGGTACCAGCGCTGCTTACACGGCGGAGACGTTATCGTTGTCGCGGTAGACGAAGCGGCCGGCTGGTGAAGCTGAAGTTCTTTCTGACGCACTGTCCTTGTTTTACCCGATCATCACGTGGATTATTTCTAGGCTCTCGATACCTCTGCGTTTTTTGGATCCTGTTGATGTCTGTTTGGTGCCTGTGGCTGGAGTTGAAGCCCCTCTGCACCGCCGCCATTGCCCCTCCCGCCCCTATATTTGCCGGCGGTGTCTTCAAAACCTGAGACCGCTGTGCCAGGTCTCCCAACCTGTTGAAGCTCATGCTCCAGTTCCTGTCAGGTTTGGCCTAATAAACGCCAGGTCGCTTACGAACAAAACTTTTATTCTTCGGGACTTTTTCATTCATCAAAATCTGGATTTCCTGTGTGTGACTGAGACGTGGCTGAGTGTTGGTGAGTCCAGTGCTCTGTCTGAGCTTCTACCAGCAAACGTTCTTATTTTAATTCACCTTCAGGGAGAGGAGGAGGCACAGCGACTGTTTCCAAACAGGACTATAAATGTAAGCAGTTTTCTACAGACGCCATTCCCCAGCTTTGAGTTCACGTCATTTGAGATGAGACACGGAAAGCCTGTCTTCTGTGCTGTGGTTTACCGGACCCCCAAATATAATAAGGATTTTATCTCTGACTTTTTAGCTGGGATTATAACTAACTATGATCATGTTCTGATTGTTGGAGATCTCAATATACATGTGTGTTGTCCTGATAAGCCTCTGGTAAAGGACTTTTTAAACCTTCTGGACTCCTTTAACCTGGTACAGGCCGTATCTGGCCCCACACATGAGCGCGGACACACACTGGACCTGCTTATGTCCTGCGGTCTGCCTGTGGATCACCTGGAAATCTGTGACTCTGTGTTCTCAGATCACCTGCCTGTTTTATTCAGGGTTAGTTGACACCTACTGCAGTTAAAACCCGCGCTGCAGCTCAGCGGATTATTAACCCCTCCACGGCCACTCAGTTCTCTACTGCTTTTCTTCAACTTCATGGATCATCTGATTTCCTCCACTTTGATACTGAAGAGCTCTGGTCCTGGTTCTGTTCCTCCTGTCAAACAATCCTGGACTCGGTTGCTCCATTAAAAACTAGGCAACCAAAGATTAACCCTGAGCCTTGGTTTAATGACAGAACTCGTGCTATAAGAAAGGAATGTTGCCGTGTTGAACGCAGGTGGAAGAAGGATAAACTGCAGGTTACTTTTCAAATTTTAACAGACTGTTGGCGACTCTATCAGAGCACAGTTACAGAGACAAAAAGGGAATATTTGGCTAATATTATCTCCTCAAACAGACATAACCCACGTGTCTTATTCAACACCATTGACTCTATGCTTAATACTCCACAGGATGTCTGTTTGGAAGCTTCTCCTGACATGTGTGAGAATTTTCTGTGTTTCTTTATTGAGAAGGTTGGTAGTGCCAGGGCTCTTACCATAGCTCCTGACTCTGACCCCCCTGTTTCGGTCCCTCGCTCCGTTTCGGTCCCTCGCTCCGTTTCGGTCCCTCGCTCCGTTTCGGTCCCTCGGTCCCTCGCTCCGTTTCGGTCCCCTCCGTTTCAGTCCCTCGCTCCGTTTCCGTCCCTCGCTCCGTTTCGGTCCCTCGCTCCGTTTCGGTCCCTCGCTCCGTTTCGGTCCCTCGCTCCGTTTCGGTCCCTCGCTCCGTTTCGGTCCCTCGCTCCGTTTCGGTCCCTCGCTCCGTTTCGGTCCCTCGGTCCCTCGCTCCGTTTCGGTCCCTCGCTCTGCTGCTTTCACTCAGTTTGAGCCTGACTGTCTCACGTTTAGAGGATGTGGTTGGCCATATTCAGCCAGCAGGTTCCCCCCGTGATCCTGTCCCTCCACGACTTTTTAAAGATATTTTATCTAGCATAGTGCAGCCTGTTTGTGCAATTATAAATAGCAGTCTGTCCTCAGGTGTGGTCCCTGCTAGTTTTAAACATGCAGTAGTGCAGCCACTGCTTAAAAAACCTGACATTGATCCTTCTGTTCTGGCAAATTATCGGCCCATCTCGAAGCTGCCTTTTCTTTCTAAGGTTTTAGAAACAATTGTATACCATCAGCTGAAACAGTTTTTAGATGAGGATGGTATTCTGGAGGTTTTCCAATCAGGTTTTAAAACTCTTCATAGCACAGAATCTGCTTTAATAAGAGTTTTTAATGACATCCTTTCAGCATGTGATTCTGGTAATCATGTTCTGATTTTACTTGACCAAACTGCTGCCTTTGATACAGCCGACCACGACATTTTAATATCGTGATTACAGCTTATTGTATGTATTGATGACACTGTTCTTAATTGGTTCAGGTCCAACCTGGAGGACAGAACATTTTCAGTAAATATTAGAGACTCTGAATCATCTACTGCTTCAATGCCATATGGTGTACCACAGGGCTCCGTTCTGGGCCCACTGCTTTTCTGTCTTTATTTACTGCCTGTGGGTTCTATCTTCAGCAAACATGGGATTTCATTTCATTGCCAGATTTATTTGCCCCTGAAGCAGAAAGATGTCCAGCCAATCAAACATCTCCTGGCATGTCTAGATGATGTTAAAGCTTGGTTGGCTTTGAACGTTTTACATTTTAACGAAAAGAAAACAGAGGTGATGGTGTTCGGACCCAGTGGCTCCTGTGAGTCCTCCTCTGTTGACCTTTGACCCTTGGAGGTGCATTTTAAACCAGTTTATTTTAAACCAGTTTATTTTAAACCTGTTATTACAGATCTTGGTTTTAAGGTGGACAGTGATTTTAAATTGGACAGCCACATTAGAGCTGTGGTTAAGTCCAGTTTTTATCACTTAAGGCGATTGGCATCAGTAAAATCTTTTCTTTCCAGGCAGCATTTTGAACAGTGATCCACGCTTTTATTTCGACTCGACTGGATTATTGTAACTCTCTATATCTGGGAGTCAGTCAGTCACTGCTCTCACGTCTGCAACTGCTTCAGAATGCGGCTGCAAGACTTTTGACAGGAACTGGAAAGAGAGCATGTGACCCTGTCTTGGCTTCACTTCACTGGCTGCCTGTTTATTTTAGGATCCGTTTTAAAATTCCTATGTTTGTTTTTAAATCGCTGCATGATCTTGCCCCGGCTTACCTCACTGAGCTTCTTCACCCTGACATACCTTATGGGTCTCTTGGAGGAACCGAGATCTAGAAGGAAGCTCAGAGGGGACAGAGCTTTCTCTGTCGGGGTCCTAAGTTATGGATGACCTGCAGGTCAGAGGCCCCTTCACTGTCCACTTTTAAAGCTCATCTTAAAACCCATTTATTTCACTTGGCCTTCAACTCCAGTGAGATCTAG